GCTTGTAACGCTTGTAACACTCCAAAGAGAAAGGAAAAATTGAAATCGCATCATATGACCCCTTTAATAATGACTCAAACTGCATAGCAATAATTCATAATAATAAATAATACATTAATAATATAATTAATTATCTGAGAAGTCATAATAAATTATTATCAGTAGAAATAAAAAGCAAAAAGAATAGTTTTGTACAAAATCATTAATTAAAAAAAAATTAATTGTATTTAATATCTCGAAATGTCTTGGGGTTTCACCATCCATTTTAAAACCTGACCTTTTTCTGTGTTATACATGGTTCAAATGTTATGATATTTGTAAAAGATGAGGGTCTTAATTGTTTATCACACAACATTTCTAGATTTTTCTTGACCTTAATTTGGCAACAAAGGTCTTTTTTGTTGTTGTTGTTGTTGTTAAAGCTACACTATCAATTTTTTTGGAAATAACAATACCAGCTTACTCCAGGCTACTTTATAAAGCAGGAATAAAAACAATATCAGAAAATGAAAAATGTTTATTATAGTTAATTGAGTCATTTGAAGTCAGTTGAGTTCTGTGTCTTTATGAAGTGTATTTTTAATTTTTTTTGAATAACTGAATGTGTGTGTCTCAGGCGACGCTGCAGTTCTGTGTGGTGAAGCCGCTGATGGCCATGATGACCGTCATCCTGCAGGCCTTCGGGAAATACAGAGACGGAGACTTCAAGTGTGTCTGCTCAGCTCACTAATCAAACACACAGATATCAGTGAGTGTTTTATGAGAGACTGATAGTAAACCGCATCTCTCTCTCTCTCTCTCTCTCCGTCTGTCTGTGTTTCAGCGCGGCCAGCGGTTATATATATGTGACCATCATCTATAACATCTCGGTCAGTCTCTCGCTCTACGCTCTCTTCCTCTTCTACTTCGCCGCTCGTGATCTGCTGGAGCCGTACGGCCCCATGCTGAAGTTCCTCATGGTCAAATCCGTCATCTTCCTCTCCTTCTGGCAGGGTGAGTCTTCATCACGTCATCCTTCATCTGATAATCTGCATATTCTCTGACGTGACATTTGATTTTCCCAAATAAATAAATGTTAAAGAACATGTCAATATAACAGTTATTTTTAGGTGATGACAGAAAAATATATTTCCTTTTTGTTTTGTTGGAATGTTGTTGTTGTTGAACTACATATTATTGTTAAATAATTAATATAATCCTATAATAAATCTGTTTTGTAACATGCATTACAGTATTAATTATATCTGTATTGGATTGTAGATATTAGAAAGGCTTGGGCGATGCACTGAAGTGCCAGTAAAGCACTGTGTCATTTTGCATGCTGTAGGGATGCTGTTGGCAATTCTGGAGAAATGCGGCGCGATTCCTCGCATAAACTCTCCTGATGTCAGCGTGGGGGAGGGGACTGTTGCCGCCGGTTACCAGAACTTCATCATCTGCATCGAGATGTTCTCAGTGTTGGGTGATGAATCACAGTGAGGAATGTGATGTTGAGATTTCCTTCACGTCTAGACCTGTTCAGTAGAAACAACACCTGCAGCAGCACAGATACAGTGCACTTTGATCTCTCACAGCTTTCTCTATCACTGCTCACAAGATCTGTTATGTTAGGTTAAATTATGAATTATGTCTCAGATGTTTCTGCTAATATTCAGTGAACAGACCCAAATGAGTTATAGTCATCATCCAGTAACAGTCTAGAGCCGCAAAAGCTGAGTTCATATAGAGACTTTAGTATCTTAAGTTCTTTAGTTGTGCTGTGTAGGATGAATCACTGATATAACGTAGATTTCACCGGTGTGTTTCTGCAGCGTTTGTCATCTATAACTTCTTGAGTTTGTGTTACGAGTATCTGGGTGGTGAGAGCGCCATCATGGCTGAGATCAGAGGAAAACCCATCCAGTGAGTTCAGCATTTACTGCTCCTCTCTGTTTCTCTGTCACGTGTTAAATCAGCTGATCTGAGGAGTGTGTGTTCATTCAGGTCCAGCTGTGTTTACGGCACTTGTCTACCTTGCGGTACGTCATTTGTGGCCAAAATATCGAGAGAGAATACTTTAATCCAGTGGTTCTCAAACCCTTCAAATGAAGTTACCACCTTTGATCAAATCAGAGCACAAATCATTCTATTAACAGTAGTGGAAGAATGTTCTGGCAAGGTTCTCTCAAAGTTATGAACAAACGTTCTTCCAGTAATGTTAATCAAATGTTTGTTCAAACTTATGTTCTCAAAATGTTGGCACAAAAGCATTTGTTCATCGTTCATTGTTCACAAAACATTGTTCAATGAAAGTTTTTTCCTGAAATGATTTCATTGGAAGTTTGTGTAACATTTTTTTAAATGTTACTACTTGTTCAGGAATGATCAGAGAACATTCAAAAGTAGCGTTCCCATTATGTTTATACAATGATAAAGCGTAATGTTTCCCTAAGTCACATAACCAAGAGAAGACGTTTTTAAAACATTAAAAAAAAAACAAAAAAAAAACTAGGCGTTCAGAACATTCAGAAATAACGTTACTAACATAACTTAATGAGAACATTAGCAAAACATATTCATTAATACAGCCGATTTTGAGTAATATCATATTCTGATCAATATCAATTAGTAGTTCAGATAAATCATGATGCTATGAGGCCTCTTTTTAGGGCTCATCCACATGAGGCCACAGCCCTAAAAAAGGGCTAATCCAAAAATACAATCTTTTTTTTTTCCTCGTTCTTCCGTAAACAAAGCGTTGTCTCAAGAAATATCTGCGTACAGTACATTCGAAACCACCGAAACCAACTCAAAACAATGTAGTACATGCTAGACCAGTATGTGGCGCTGTAATTCTGCCAGAGATACACTAAACACAGAGAAGAAGACTTGGAGCATGCGCATAAACCTTGCGTGCTGTATACAAACCCAACACAACGACAAGAAGACGAACATGGAACAATACTCTTATTACACTTATTTATTAATATGTATTAATGTTAGCTAATAAAAATACAGTCGTTCATTGTTCATGTTGTTGTTGCTGTCACGTGACGTAGCGGTGTCTGACTAGGGTGACATCATCGTTTCACAAAATATTCGGATTGGCTGTACACACGAAAACGCAACTGGGACCTGGGTTCAAAAAATAGCGGTTTCAGGCTCCCAAAACGAAACGCGGATACGATACAAAATCTTTACGTATAGAGCTAAACGTGTCTCCGTGTGGACGGGCCCTTAGACTTGACTACAGGAGCATTAACTTTTTCGTCATGTTTTCAGCTGCTTTTCCGCACGTTTAAAAACAAATAAATGAAAGAATAAGCATTTGCGTAAAATAATCGTAAGAAATAAATATTCATTTAAAAGTGTGGTTTGAAAATCACTGGTTTAATGTTCTAACTGGAGCACTGTATGTGTCACTTGAAGCTGCTGCCTGTGTAGAGCGTCTCAAATCACTCACTAATGAGTGTTTATTAGCTGTAGTAGATTTGAAAGAGCGAGACAGACTGGAGGATGATTATGAATCATAATGATGTGCCATATAAACACAAATGCTCCTCTCTGCACTTTCTACATGTATATTTCAGGGTAACGTGCTGCATAATAAACTACAGGAGGAACTAGTTCATGACTGAAATGCCTTAAACATCTGTTACTCTCATGTGGTTCACACTGGATTGAGAACTTTACCATAACTGCAGATTTGAATGAATCAGTTTGCTGTCTCTTCATTTTCTTTTCACTCTTGAGTGTTTTCCTGCTGTTTTTTTCTGTTCCTCTGAGTAAATGAGACTGAAATCTCTCCTCAAACGGATGTAAAGATGAGTGAAATACAGATGGGACACAGATTAAACCTTGCAGATGTTTGAAAGCAGCTGTGTGAAGCTTCCTCGGTTAATTGTCCTGTTTCGTTTGAGCGTCTTTTGTTAATCTTTCCTGTCCAAACAATCTCTATTTTATTGGCACTTTCAGCTCTACCTCTAATTATCATAAAGTTTGTAGACAAAAATTCTAGGTGCATTTTGAATGTACCTGCC